CTACCACTTTCCTAAAATCAAGTGTATAATATCCATTTATTTGATGCCTTTGGTTTGTCCTCATTGATCAGTGTTAAATGGTGAAAATGGGGTGTCTTTGGTGTGGGGATTTCGGCCATGTGAAGGATGAGGGAAGGGGGTGGTTTGGTTATGTGAAGGGTGAGGTGAGGGGCTGGATTTTTGGTCCACACATGAGGAATAATACATTAAGGATTATCCTTTATTCCTTTGGTTTTATTGTGGATTTGAAGGGTGATAAATGGGATATTTGGGGGGCTGAATTCATCCATGGGTGTGAAAGGGTGTGGGTTTGATGTATTATCACAACAGGACAAAAGGCATGTTTTATTTCTTGTCCCCTGGTTTGTTCCTCTTGTAGTGGGGGATGTTTGTGATGGATGGGGACTGATTTTGAGGACAAATGGGGGCATATTTTCGTGACTTTGAAGTAGGAAGGGATGGGGAAGGTTCTTATTTGATGAAAGGAATATTTAGGGAATAAAACAACACTCACATTATTTTGGGTTGTACTTTTTCTTTCAATTTTGGCCAGGGTTTCAAAGAATAGGAAAAGGGCTTTATTTGAGTAGTAAAAATACTTTGGATATGTGGGAGTGGGTTGGCCTTGTAGGCATTTCGGCATAGGTTGGGGTTTGGGAGAGATAGGTCATGGTTTGGGTTTTGGTGTGGGATGGATCAATGAGTTCAACCCAAAATGGATCATGTAACACCCCAACCCACGTAACCCGAATCAACGGGTTAGCAAATCGGGTTGTTACTAAGTTGGTGCTCACATGCCTAAATTTTCTTTCCTAAATTTAACAATTAAATCAATTATAAAATTCATCCGTAGGGTTTTAACTAAACCCGAATTCACCAGAATAATTAAATAAATCCAAACGTCGCGGAAGCATAAGAAAACCAAAGTAACGTTCAACCGTCCATATAATCAAATAAAATAATGTAGTTTAATTATTAAAGTAGACAAGAGCCATCCACGCCACCCCACCACTTCACTGCCCTCTAGGTTGCCCATCCAAGTCTGTGTTCCTACCTGCGTGCAGTCAAACAACAACGACTACACGCTCAGCGAAACGCTGAGTGAAAATATACCTAAGCCAGCATTAACTCACAGAATAGCACCACATTAACATACAATCAACAACATCATGTGATCACGGAGAAAATAGCTTAAATAAACATATTTATATTAACACCTTCCATTTGAACATCATGTCCTTATTTTATTCCACATCAACTACTTTGAGTCATGGCACCCCAAGCAATGCTATAAAAGAGCCAGCTCGGAAACCCAAAGGAGATTCACTTTGGGCGGGTTGAAGCCCCTGTCCCTGCGATGCCAGGACAGGTCGCGGACTTCCGTACGTACGTTTTTAACCCAAGACCACCGGGTGTGCGACGACGCCCCGCAATGGCCAATTTCCTAACCATATCCTATTGGTGATTCAATTAGTCAATCCAATTCAGGTCCGCCTAATTATATTAGGTGGCCTATTTCCCATATATTATTCATAATCCACAATTTTCGTCAATAAGATCAATTTAATTTAAATCTCAGTTTACAATTCACAACAAATCACGTAGCGGCCTATCTGGGCCAAAGACCCATGATTACCGTCATGCATAACCAAACAAACCCAAATTACAATTAACCCAACTCACCTGTGCGGAATCGAGCCCAAGGAATCGATCCTCAGACCCGCTGGCCCCGCCGGAGCAGTCCCCAACGTCGCTGGACCAACCCGGCACCCCTTCCGGTAGCCGACCCGGCTGCCCGAGCCCAAAGCCTGACCAAACAGCCCTGTTGGGTGATTCACATCAACCCGGACAGCCCATCAATTAGCCCAAACAGTACAAACAAATCCAATTGCACCCAATTGAATTCGAATAGCCAAATTGAACTCGATTGAACCCATTTGGACCCAATTGGTGCCAATTGAACCCAATTGGTCCAAATAGAGCTGCTATCCTGTCCCGGTCAAGCTTGCCGCCGACGTTGCCGGCGGGTCGCCGGAGAAGACGCTGGAAAACAGCCCCCAAACCCCAATTTCATGAATTCAACACAAACATCCACAATACTCAGTCAATCGCAAGATTATACGCTAAGGTAGTTCTAATCTACGAATTAACGCTAACGAGAGGTATAGAAACCACGAAACACCTCGAAATTTGACGAATTCAAAGCTGGACCAAAGAGGGAGAACTGCCGCTGCAACTCTCTGGTTTCGCCGGCCTGCTGCGCACGACGGAGGGACGAGGCGGAGACGTCGGTTGGAGTCACAGGCGTCGCAGGCGATTACAGCGGTGGAGTATCCTGGCGGTTACTGCGGCTGCTGGCTCTCCCTAGCAGACGGACGGCGAACAGGAACGACGAACAGAGGTGAAACGGATGAAACGTACCCAAGGTAATTTACACTTTCTAACCGGTTAGGATAATTTTAGGCCCAATAACCTCATTCGGCAGTCGTATCTTGGGCTAGGTAAGTCTGATTCTCAATCCGTTTGCACGGTCGGGTTCAGAACAGCGTGTCGTACCACGTATGTCAACCCCCATATTTAATATGCAAATTAGAATATAAATCTTCGTATTGATCGACCCAATAACTAATTAATTTTATAAATTAATTAAAATACTAAGCCGGGTTTCAGGGCGTTACATTTCTTCCCCCCTTAAAAGAATTTCGTCCTCGAAATTACCTTGATCGTTATCGCAGAAATGGTGTCGACACTGAACCCTCATCGATTCCCTAGTCGCCCACGTAGCATCTTCCACGACATGGTTATGCCACATGACTTTGACTAAAGGCACCCTCTTATTCCTCAACTCCTTAACTTCCCGTGCTAGAATCTGCACAGGCTCCTCCTCGTATATCAAGTCCTCGTTTAGAGTAACCGCACCTTCGGGTAACCGATGGGTCAGATCTGATCAGTATCGTCGGAGCATAGAGGCATAGAACA